AATATACTGAAAGACATCCAATGTTCATGGATCAGAAGACTTAAAATTGTTCGGATGGCAATATTCCTCAAAGTGCTCTGCAGATTCAATGCAATCCCTAAAAAATCAAGCTTTTTTGCAGAAGTTGATGAACTGATTCCAAAATCTATCCGGGAGAGTGAGGGGTCTCAAATAGCTAAAACAAGCTTGGAAAAGTGAAACAAAGTCGGAGGACTCACACTTACTAGTTTTAAAACTTACTTCAGGGCCAAAGTAATCAAGACAGTGTGACCTGGGCATGGGACAGATTAATGAACCAATGGGGTAGAACAGAGCCCAGAAATAAGCCCACATTTCCTTCTCTGGCTTCCAGGTGGAGCCAGACCCCCACCAGACAGAGACATCCTCCACCACCAAGATGGCAGCCTCCTCAGGTGAGACTGGCTTCTGCCTTCTCCCCAAATCCCTGACATTACTTCTTACCTGGGGGAGTGGGAACCCTAGACACCCCCATCAGGCTCTAGACTCAGGAACCCAGACAGCACCATGAGCCTGTCTGGGCCCTCCTGGTCATTGTGCAAATAATGAACATATCTCCCTGCCCCACACCACCACTGACCATGGCACAGCATGGGACCTGTATGGGTGGCAACTGCACCACACAAACGTACATACGTATATGTGCACACCACACACATCAACATGAAAACATAGGCAGGCACATGTGAACACACAGGTGTGTGAAGACATGCACACATGCACACACACATGCCCACACTCACACAGATGCACACACATGACCCCACGTGCCCATGTATCATACACAGTCACACACATGGGCATGCATGCACACACACACACTTGCACACACTCACACACATATGCCCACACACACTCAATGTGCACATCACCTTGTGGTCCTAACTTCTCCCACGCATGGCAGCGGCCATCCCCGCAGAAGCTGCTGTGTAATTACCCCAGCCAGCAGCTCTGTAAAGTTGGCTGAGTGGCAATTATTCTTCCATTTTATAGATGGAGACGCTAATGCTCCAGGAAGTGAGCTGACCTGCTAGTCAAGGTCACAGGGCATGACTCTCCCCTGGCCCCTTCCTGCTTCTAGAGAACACAGGCCAACCTGGAGGGGCATGACCATGACTGCCTGATGTTGGGGAGCCCTGACCACTTGAACAAACACTATCAGGCCCCACCTACCCTCAAAGGACAGTAATGGAAATAAAATGTTCACTATAAGTTTTCAACAGCAGAGTTGAGCAGGTAGAAGAAAGAATCAGTGACTCTGAAGATAGTTCAGTTGGAATTATGCAGTCTGAGGAGCAGGGAGAAAAGGAATAAAGACAAATGAACAGACCTGTGAAACACCATCAAACGTAGCAACACATTGTGAGAGCCCCAGAAGGACAGGATAGATAAAGGGACAGAGAGAATATATGTAAAGAAATCATAGCCCCGAAGTTCCAAATTTGATTTTTAAAAATCTTGAAAATTCAAGATACTTTCAAGAAGCTCAATAAACTTCAAGTTGGATAAACATAGATCCAAATTGAGACATTTTAATCAAACTATCAAAAGATAGAGGCAAAGAGAGGATCTTGAAAGTAACAAGAAAGAAGTGATTCATCATGTACAAAGGATCCTTAATAAGACTAAGAGCCAGTTTCTTATTGGAAACCAGAGACCAGAAGGCAGTGGGAAATCATATTTAAAGTGCTGAAAGAAAAACACTGTCAACCAAGAATTCTACATCTGACAAAACTGTCTTTCAGAAATGAAGGACTAACCTAGATGAAATGGAGAAATTCTTAGAAACACACAAACTACCAAAACGGACTCAAGAAGAAATAGAAAATCTGAGCAGATCTATAAAAAGGGAAGAGATTGAATCAGAAATTTCAAACCTCCCAACAAAGAAGACCTTCACTGGTGAATTCTGCCAAACATTTAAAGTGGAGTCAACACCCACCATTCTCAAACTCTTACAAAAAACAGAAGAGGAGGGAACAATTCCTACCTCATTCTATGAGGCGGGCTTTGCCCCCATACCAAAACCAGACACAGACGTCACAAGAAAAGGAACTATAGATATTGATCCGTTATAAATGCTGATGCAGAAATCCTCAACAAAACACTTGCAAACCAAATCCTCTAGCATATTAAAAGGATTTTAGTGACCAAGGGGATTTATCCCAAGAATGCAAGGGTGTTCACTGTAAGAAAATCAACCAATGATACTATGTCACATTAATAGAATGAAGGCAAAACCACATGATCATCATCATTGATGCAGAAAAAACATCTGATATAATCCAACACTCTTTTCATGATAAAAACCACTCTACAGACTAGATTTCCTCAGCTTGATAAAGGGCAGTTATGAAAAACCCATAGCTAACATCATATACTCAATAGTGAAAGACTGAAGTGTTCCCCCTAGGATCAAGCAAAAGACAAGAGTGTCCACTCTCATTTCTTCTATTCAAAATAGTACTAGAAGTGCTAGCCAGAAGAAAGAGAAATAAAATGCATCCAAATGGAAAGCAAGAATCAAAAGTGTTTCTATTCATAGATGACATTTATGGAAAATCCTAAAGAATCCACAAAAAACTCTTGGAACTAGTGAAAACATTAAGCAAAGTTGCTGGACACAGGATCAAAACACAAAAATCAATTATACTTCTATATAAAATCAATGAATAATCTGAAGAGAAAACAATTTCATTTATAACATCATCAAAAAGAATAAAATACTTAGGAATGCGTTAACCAAAGATGTACAAGACTTATTCACTAGGAACTACAAAACACTGCTGAAAAAAAATTAAGGAAGACCTAAATAAATGGAAGACATCCCATGTTCATGGATTGGAAGACTTAATATTGTTAAGATGGCAATAATTCCTAAAGTAATCTACAGGTTCAATGCAATCTCCATCAAAATCCCAACAGCTTTTTTTTTTTGCAGAAATGGAAAAACTGATCCTAAAATTCATACGGAGTTGTAAGAGATCTTAAAAAAGCCAAAGCAGTCTTGGAAAAGAAAAATAAAGTTGAAGGACTTATACTACCTAACTTTAAAACATACTACAAAGCTACAGAAATCAAAACAGTGTGATACCAGCAGAACGACAGACACATAGACTAATGGAATGGAATTGAAAGTACAGAAATAAACCCAGACATCCATGGACAACTGATTTCTCAAAAGGGCACTAAGACTATTCAATGAGGGAAAGATTTCAACAGATGGTACTGAAATAGCTGGTTTTCCTCATGTAAAAGCTGGACCCTTACCTCATACCATATACAAAAATTAACTAAAAGTAGATCAAAGGCCTAAATGTAAGAGGTAAAACTATAAAACTCTTAGAAGAAAACATAGGTGTAAATCTTTGAAATCTTAGATTAAGCAATGCTTACTTCATATGACATCTAAATAGGCAAGTTGAACTTCATCAAAATTTAAAACTTCTGTACATCAAAGAACACTGTCACAAAAATGAAAAGACAATCTATTCAAGGGAGGAAGTATTTGAAAACTGTGTATCTGATAAGTGTCTAGTGTCTAGAATACAAAAAGAACTCTGACAACTTGACAACAAAAAGACAAACAACTCAGTTAAAAAGTGGGTCAAGGACGTGCATAGACATTTCTCCAAAGAAGACATTTAGATGTCCAATGAGCTGATTAAAAGATGCTCAACATCATCAGCCAGCAGTGTGCAAATAAAAATCATGACATATCACTTCACACCCACTGGGATGTGGCTAAAGGGAAAAAGACAGAGGATAACAAACACTGGCAAGGATGTGGAGAAACTGGAACCCTGTGTTGCTGGTGGGAATGTAAAATGAAGCTTCTGTGGAAAACAGTTTCGTGGTTCCTCATAATATAGAATTACCATATGATTGAGCAATTCCACTTCTAGGAATATACCCAGAACAACTGAAAACAGGTACTCAATCAAATACTTGTACAAAAATGCTCACAGCAGCATTATTCGCAACAGCCAAAAAGTACGAGACAACCCAAGGGCCCATCAACAGATGACTGAATAAGCAAAGTGTGATCCATCAATACAATGGAATATAATACAGCCATAAAAAAGAATAAAGCATTAAAGTATGCTACAGATGGATACATCTTGAAAACTTGACGCTCAGTGAAAGAAGCCTCTCTCCCACTTTCTCTCTCTCTCTCCCTCCTTTCCTCCCTACTCTCCAGAGGGGCTCAGCCACCATATTTAAGGGAGCCCAGGCCACGTGTAAAGACCACTTGTGGGTGTTCCTGCTGATGGCAGCATCAGCTACCAGACATGTCAGAGGACCCAGCTGAGGCACGGAGACCAGCCCTGCCTATTGGGCTGCTGGACTTCAGTGTGCAGATGTTGGGATGTATGACATACGGTTATTATTGTCTAAACTATGATGTTTTGTGACAATTTGCTCTTCACCAAAAGCTAACTAACACCCAGCCCTCCTTATCTTCCTCTCCTTCCCCAAATAACCTCCTTGGATTATCCAAGGTCCTCCTCCAGGACCTGGGATAACTTCTGCTGTGTGCCTCTGTGGTCCCCAAGCCTCTCCCTTCCTGTGTTTTTGTTTGTTTGTATTTTCTCCCCAAGATCTGCCAGAAGTCCTGGCTCCCACAGAAAAACTGCGACGATTAATCTTACCCCAGTGCAACTGCGTAATTGCCTTTTGGGGAAGGAGAAGCAGGATCCTACATCCTTCCCAAACTCTAGGAGCAGCCTACAGAGCAGGAGAGAGTTGGAAAGGACCCACGCGGGAGTTCGTACAGTAACGAGGTCTGTGCAGCACTGCTCCCCTGCTGGAGCTGCTGCTCCCACGCCTGGGCATAGGTGAGGCACGGAGGCAGGGAGCGATGGAGTGGCTTGTGGCCTGTGCCCATCCCCACTGATGGGGGAGCAGGCTTGGACCCTGCTGCACCCGTAGCGCTGGGCTGCCGCATCTGCCCTGAAAGCCGTGATGGGTGCCGTGTGTACCTTTGTCCAGCACAGGGCCAAAGATGGCCAGGCTGTCATTGATGGTGGTGCAGTTCCACCGGCGGCCGCGGAACTGGTGTTGGCATTCCTGGATGCTGATCTTGACACCCTCTGCCACGCTGGGCATGATCTCCACGTAGTTCCGGCAGAAGCGCAGCTGCTTGGGTACAAGACCGGGGATGCTGGCGCAGAGGATGGGCTGCGTGCCCAGAGATGAGTACTGGGGCCCGACAGCCAGGGACCTGGGGGAGGAGGACAAGGAGGCCTGGTTAGTGGAGGAGGTGACTTGCTGGCCCACGAGACAGGAGCAGCATCCAGGCCTGCCTTGGGGTAAACCTTCCTTGGAGGATGCACGCAGGCCCTTTCCTTCCGGACACTCATGCATTCCAGGGTGCTTCTACCTTGGAGGAAGTCTGTCCCTACCCTGTACTTGAGACTTAGCACAAAACTCAAGATGTGCACATGGATTGACAGAAAGGAAGCGATGGAGGGCTGTTTGCTTCTCTGCACAACTGCAGGGTCCCTCTGCTCTGCTAAGGTGGAGACAGCAGTACCCTGGAACTGTCTGGGAATGCAGAGACCACAGCCGGAGGAAACAGTGTGACACTGGGTCAGCCAATGGGTGCCCAGAGCGGGGGCTGCTGGGTCTGCGGCAGGGGGAGGGGGACTACTTCCGAAGGCACAGCAGTGGATAAAACACACAGGCGAAAATCACCACTGAACTCATTCCCGCCGTGCCAGCCGGCTTCTGGCTATTTACCCAACAGACGTAAAAGCATATGTCCACGATAAGATGTGCTCAAGAATAGTCACAGGGCTGTGATCATCAGAGAAAAACTTGGAAACCACCCAAGTACCCATAGAAGTATGGATGAACAGCCTGTTTACCCTCGCAGTGTGATGCTACTTGGAAATCGAGGGGAGCGGACTGCTGAGGCAAAGGGCAGGGATCTCCCTGGCAGGGTGGTGCACAAGGGAGCATTTCTCAGCCTGCGCTTTGCAAAATGGTTCCCACTGCCCCACATGCCTATGTAATTTTAGTTAAGCTAAATGACAAAAGAATGAGAAAAAAAAATTGGTTCCTTACCAGCTATGTGTGGCCTGTGGCTACCATGTTGGATGGTTAGACATGGAACATTTTGGTCACTGTGGAAAGTTCCACTGGACCACACTGGTCCAGGGTGGTGAAAGTGTTCTGTGTTTGATGGAGGCGTTGGTTGCACATGTGTTTAGGTGTCAAAACCGACTGAAGCAGGGTCATTTTACTACATGTGATTGCACTTTGATTTAAGAGGAAGAACCACCAGGTCCCTTTGGGGGCTCCAATCCCATGGTGACATGTCGTTATATTCATCCAAGCCGACGGATGACCCGTGGTCCTGCCACCTCTGGTCGTGTTGGCCAGTTTTGAGCGTGACCCACGGTCCTCCTGTTTATGGATGCGTCTCTGCGGTAGGGGGATGTGCTCTCATCGGCAGAGCTCTGCTCAACTCCTCCGCATCTCAGCGCTTTCTTCGCCCCTGGTTGGATGCTCCATGTGCGTGACTGTGTGGCAACCGCTGCTTTTCAGGGCCGGCTGTGGAAGCCTGGCTCGCAGCAACCACTGATATCACAAAGGCTCTCCAGGGCCTCTGGGAAGGGTCTGTGCAGACTTTTAGGTGAAGACCAAGGCGTGAGAGGCCCTGTGGATCCAGGAGGACCACTCGGGGTGCAGTGGTCCCAGAGGAACAGCATCCTGTGGCTTCTCACACACTCCCCAGACACCTGCGGATTCTCGTAGTGCAGAGAAGCTGCCCACGCTCGCTCAGGCCTTTGGCCTCACTTGCTCTCTCCTGCCCCTCAGGGCGCCCCCTCTTTCCTCTGGGCCGTCTGGTGTGGTGCGCTGTGGGCCCAGAGCGGAGCAGATCCCCAGAACGGCCCCTCAGCCTGGCAGTATGGTCCCCACTTGCCTGGAAGCTTGCTCCGCTGGGATCCAAGTGGAAAGGTCTTCCTTTGTTTGGTGGGGAAACCAAGGCATTGGAAGTTCTATAAATGTTTCAGCTGGACCCCCAGAGGTTCTTGTTTGGCACCTCCTCTCCCCTGGGAAGGCTGAGGACCCCTGAGGAGGTGGGACAAAGGTTTCTGTGTCCCTCAGCAAACCACACACCTGCATCATGATGCTGACTTTCAGTAAGTCCCACTTTGAGTCTAACTCAATTTCATCCAGCTGTGGTGAGAATGATAGGAAACAGGAATCATTGTCTCTGAGAGAAACAAATCTGCCCTCTGGAAATAGAGATCAGATCCAATCATTTTTCCCCTCTTAGTCTTCAAAATCTTCAAAGGTTGCCTTGCCTGGAGGCACAAAACCCACACCCTTCAGCATCTGGAGATGCCCCACCGGACGACCCAGAGAGAGCATTCCTTA